TCTCCTGCTAGACGGCTGTGTTTACCCTGGACTTAATGAAGCACAGTGGACCAACACCAGCAGATGACATGGCTCCCCAAATCAACACAAACTGTGGAAACTTCACACTGGACTTCAAGCATCTTGCAGTGTGTGCCTCTCCATTTTTCCTCCATACTCTGGGTCCTTTGTTTCCAAATGAGATGCAAAAGTTGCTCTCATCAGAAAAGAGGATTTTGGACCACTGAGCAACAGACCAGGTCTGTTTTTCTTTAGCCCAGGTAAGACGCTTCTGACATTGTTTGTTGTTCAGGAGCGGCTTGACAAGAGGAATACGACATTTGAAGCCCATGTCCAGGATCAGTCTGTGTGTGGTGGCTCTTGATGCACTGACTCCAGCCTCAGTCCACTCCTTGTGAAAGTCCCCTCTCCAAGCTGCGGTCATCCCTGCTGCTTTTGCACCTTTTTCTTCCACACTTTTCCCTTCCACATAACTTTCTATTAATGTGCTTTGATACAGCACTTTGGGAACATCCAACTTCTTTTGCAATTGCCTTTTGAGGCTTTCCCTCCCTATGGAAGGTGTCAATGATGGTTTTCTGCACAACTGCCAGGTCAGCAGTCTTTCCCATGATTGCGATTCCTACTGAACTAGACTGAGTGACCATTTAAAGGCTCAGGAACCCTTTTCAGGTGTTATGGCTTAATTAGCAGATTAGAGTGGGACACTTTGAGCCTAGAATATTGCACCTTTTCACAATATTCTGATTTTCTGAGATTGTGGATTTGGGGTTTTTTATGAGCTGTAAGCCATAATCATCACAATTATGACAAATCACGGCTTGAACTATCTTGCTTTGCATGTAATGAGTCTCTCATATATTAGTTTCACCTTTTAAGTTGCATTACTGAAATAAATGAACTTTTGCATGATATTCTAATTTTTTGAGCTTCACCTGTAACTATATTAGAAAAAGTGTCTTTGTACAAGTGTCTCTTATGTTCACAACCACTTTAGTTTGGAGTACACACTTTTTCTGAAGCCCATGTGTACAATAACTTGGACGGTCAAGAAATCTTGCACATAAAACTGTAGATTTAATCTAATAAATCTACTTCTCTGTTAAGTACCCCTGCCTTATCCAGGATGTGCGATGCTACAGGTGAGGTTAACTACGATTACTTTTCTCTAGGCCAGTATGACTGCCCTTTAACTTTTCCATCCCACTACATGGAGCCAAAAATCATAAGTTGGATGGTTGGAGCTCCGATGACCCTTTTATACAGATCTCTTTCATCATTAACCATGTTTAATGATGATTAATACTGAAATGAAACGCAGTATATACAGTTTGATGGAGCTTGCTGTAGCTCTAGGTGCAATTGCTTTATAAATGTCTACTGTACACAATGCTTTGATACAAACTGAGCTCCAAGTCATTGGGGGGATGGGTATGTAGCACCCTCCTAGGTTGCTAAAGTAGGTAAATTTACTTTAGCTCCTCTGGAGCCAGAGGCGCAGGGGTACTTGGTTAGGAAGGCTGTGCAGAGCTTCACAGGCTGTGGTCTTGTTACCTCCCCTCGTTTTCTGGAACTTTCTGGATAGGTCCATAATCTAGTGGACAGAGGGACAGAGGCTTCAGCCTGAATCTTTATGGAGTGTCCACCAGTCCCTGAGACCGCAGGGCCCAGAAGGGATGGAATCAACCCATATTCAGAAGCCTACCAGCCTGGAAGCAAAATCCAGGGTCAAGTCATCTGGAGGGACCCCCTGTCCTGGGGACTCTGCCGCTGGGGCAGAAGAGAGAGTGAAGTCCGAGAAAGACCAAGAAGAAGAAGACTGCAGGACTTCACTCAGCCATAGTTCCAGCTAGGCTTAGCTGGGGACTCCAAGCAAGAATCTGCCTGTACAGCAGCAACTCTCTGGATTCAAGAAGCCATTTAAAAAAGGGACTGAGTGAGTACCTACCAGCCAACATACTCAAAGTCATAGATAAGACAGTGTAGTGCAATACTATACATGTCTGGGATCTAGGGGACAGCTTGAGTGCAGTGCAAGACAGTCAGGAGCACCCCCAATATTTCTAGCTTGGATCGAAAGCAGCCGGGTGCCCGTGTACAACTTTGACTTGTTGGAGCTTTTGTTCATATTACACGCTGTGTCATCATTCCTGTTGGTGGACAGCTCAGTTTGAAGTAGTCAACAACAGCCAGAGACTTTAGCATCACCTCAAGCGTTTATAGTTTGCAGCACTTCTTCAGTTGGGGAATTACATGTACCCCTAAACCCTATCCAAGTTCCCATAAATAAATTATCTCTAGTTTATTGAACATTTTGTGTCACTGTTGGATTCATTTTTGTATGTAAGCACAGGACACCATTGTACTTTTATTTGTTTTCACTGTTATTCAGATCACTTTAAATGTTTTTTATTGGGAGGTTTAATCCACTGTGCTGTACTATATGAGGTATTATAGACTTGCTTTATAATCAAAGTAAAGATAATTCATACAGGAACATCCCTAGTCTAGGTTTTTGGTATCCAGCCTTCCAGTTGTACAGTATACAGAACATGTACTGCTGTTTAACTCTTTTGCTGCCAGAGCCATTTTTGCATTATTTGCACATGTTTAAAAAAAATCATTTTTAGGCCTGAAGATTACACAAAACCCTCAAAATGTATATATTTTCTGATAGCACCATCAAAACTCCCTAGAGAATAAAATAGTAATTTAAATTTCTTATGTCACATAATACCGCAAAGGTCTAGGAAACCCCAAATTTCAGTAAAAACACACTAAAGTGAATTTTAGGGCAAACGCACACAATAAATTACTCACATTTTTGGTCAAATATAAAAGACGAGGATGAGCTGTGTAAATGGATACCAAACCTTAAATTTGTGCGCTTATGAAATGGCAATAAACTTCAGTACCCTATATTTTCTATAGGCAACACTTTGAACACCCCTATAGGTCATCTGTTTAGTGTTACGGAGGAGGTCTTGTGCTAGAATTATTGCTCTCACTCCGGCATGCATGGCAATATGAAACATGTGTATCGCAAATCGACATTTTAACACTTAGGTGCCCTGATGTGTGCATTTACATTCGTAATTATGTACTTGGGTATATATTTTTTTTTTGCAATGAGAAAAAAACATTTTTTACTTAACTTTTTTTTTTCAATCACATAGGGAACACAAAGGATTTTTTGAGGATTTTTTAGGTGACAGGTTCTCTTTTGAGATATGCAGTGTCTAAAAGACCCTGCATGTCTCCTCTGGGCTCCACTGGAGTACATTGCAATACATTGCTTCTCGGCTGTGCTAGCCGAGAAAGTGACAGGGGTGTCCCGGAAGTGACGTCACATTGTTGCCTTCTGGGTCACAGAAAGAGGGGGGGGGGGGGGGCTGAGTGGACATTTGTCCTCTTTACTCTCTCCCCTTCACCCTCTGGCACCTGCCATGGCACTCCCTGGACCAGGAGATGGGCAATCGGGGCCCGGATACATGACGAGAGTGCGCGCAGGGAGGCACCGGTACTGGGGGCTGTGGAATAGGAGTCTGCCTGTCAGTTTTATACACAATCCTGGTGGCTGAAGAACCCCCTATTGTCAGCTCTGTACGATGTACAGACCTGGTGGAAAAAGGGTTAAAGAAGAAGCAGGGCCAAAGTTCTTTTGGAGTGCACCTACTTCTGCACCCCTGTGACCCGTATTTAGCCTGACTTCAATGACCACCAAATGCCTGATGTGCACTGTGGAGAGCCTGAGCCAGCCACTCCCTCCCCCTCCACAGCACGGCACTCTGGTGAGCACTGGAGGGGCAGAGTATAGAGCTGGCCACCGGCTCTCTGAGAACAAAGTGATCAGTGGTCTTTGACCGCTGAATTCCTGGTTGGGGGGGTGACACAGATACATTATCAGATCGATGCCGCATCCACCTAGGTAAGTATGTATGGTTTTTGTGTCTTAATTCCTCTTTAAACAGTTCTAAGCTGTGATGTCTCTTCTGGCCAGCAGATGGCCCTACAGTACACTTTTCCAGTGAGTTTCTGACATTACATGATATAATCCTATTCATGGATAATGTATGTTTAGCATGAACACAAATTTATGTCAGCAGTTCCTGAAAACCTTTTATGTGCCCCAGACCTCATAATCTGATAGCTGTATATCTCTCATATAATATTACTTAAAACCCCCATGTAAAACAGACAAAATCATTAGACGAATATATCTCCAGACATTTTATTTGACAACATAATCCTCCAAATAAATGAGGAAAAGAGAGCTATATTAGATGTGACATGTAATATTGCACAAAAGAAACAGAATATTATGGATTCCTATACTGGCTTAAAATTAAATGTTATATTGCCTGCCACATCTAATAAAATAGAATGGTCAGGCCACAATTGCTCTGATTGGCATTTTCAGCCATCTTCAGCGAATACGTTCTCCATTTGCTTTTAAGTATTCCAGAAACACTAAGGTGAACCATCTGCTTTCAAAGGTTTAGTAAAATATATACAGAAAGTAAACTTGTCATTGTCAGGCATTATGAGGCCAAAATGGCAAACTCAGCACCCCACAATGCAAATAATTATCTACAGCTCCGAGTCGAAGAAAAGAGGTGCACAAGTTGCAGACACCTTTAGACAACTAAGCCAGTTATGACCAAAGGATACGGTTCTTAAAACAACAACAGCCTTCCATTACTAACCTTTCCCTTTAGAAAATACTATTTATGCCCAGTGATTTCAGTACATTTACATTACCGACCCAGACCAATCAGGATCTGCAGATCAGACGTTCTGAGATCACCTGCTACATGCATGTTCCTGATAAATGATAAAAGCATCAAAGCCACAGGGAGCCAGGTAATTGAAGGCCATCAATGGCAGCCTATGCTTTTCTCTCAGAACAGGTGTATGTAAACAATATGCCAGGTTTAGTTTAAAAAAAAAAAAAAAAACAAAAAAAACACACATATACATACATACTTCACACCCAAAATCTGAAAATACACCTGCATTGCCATGCTGTAAACATTGCATGTATAGTTCAAATCAGGGGCGGACTGACAACTCATGGGGCCCCCGGGCAATAGGGGATCATGGGGCCCCTGTGTCCTTGCCCAAACTCAAAAAAGCCTATGAAAAAGGTACCAGGGGCATCTCATAGGGCCCCCTAGTGACCCCGGGCTCTCGGGCAGTGACCGAGTTTCCAAATGGTCAGTCCGCCCCTGGTTAAAATTGTTGTACCTGCTGAGATGTATCCTGAAAATGTATACAGGTTGCCCCATTAAACCTGGCATTTGAGAAAAAAAAAAAAAGTTATCACACTGGTGGATTTGCCACAAAGCTGGAAGAGGAAAGGGATTTAGTTAACTATGGCATCCCCAGCTTCTTTGTCAATTACATAACGCCATCCAAAGTGCAAATCGTATGTTAGCTCCGTGAACAGCACCATCTAATGGTTCAAGAGGATAAGCACAGTTAATTCACACTGAATGGGATCCAGGGAAGTGGGGAGAAGGAGGTTTGCTGGGTTTTGTTGAATTCTGCGGTTTGTGGACCTGTTTGAAGCCACGTGGTCTCCAGAAGCGATAAGTATTTTTCACGTAGAGAGGGTTTTTGAAATTGCAGTTGGGTTTTTTAAACGGGAGAGTTTGAATGCAAACACTACTTTTTGGATTTCCTCTTTAAAGAATATGTTTATAAAATTGTTGTTTTACAAATTTGTCCCCTATGGGGCAAAATACATGTTGCACTTTGTAACATGTTGCTAAGTACTTTCTAACCCTATTATGAGGTCCTACCCCCCTCCTTCTGCAGCTGCTCTGACAACAACTATGAAGGAGATGGCCGATTTATAGCTACAGCTTATCTCAGGTGTGAGCACTTTCCCTGAGACAGGCAACAGCAAGAGGAATGCAGAGGCTGACACATCCCCCTCCCTCTTCTTGCTGTTGCTTGTTTCGGGAAAGTGCCTTGGACCTTATAATAGGGCTAGGAAACACTTAGAAACATGGGACAAAGTTCTACATATACTTTGTACCATAGGGGACAGAACTGTAAAAAAAAATAAAAAAGGATAGATTTTTTACATTTTAGAATTTGGCCTAGCTGCTAGAGCGCTAGCCACTTTGCCATACAAGGACAGATTTAAAGTCTTTAGTAGAAATTCTAGTACATTTATGCTGGAGGCTGGCACATCACTATACTGTATTTGTGTACCAGGTGTGCTGCCTAAGAAACATTGATGAAGACTTCTCAATGGTGAATTCTAGGACTGTCACAACAATGACCAAAGCAGCTCAGACAGCTGCTATGGGGCCTTTGGGTAGGAGGAGCCCTGTTAGGTAATATGTTGAGATATTTATTACAGGTATATAATTGTTAACAGAGGAACTCCGACCATGACCCTGATATGGCCACTTTGAGAACTGGAAAGGCTGACACTGACGCTGTAACCCTTGTACATTTCCAGTCAAGAAGAACAGATCAGAGATCAGATGCACAGAAGAAAAATTGTAGGCAGGCCATAGACAAGTCAAAAACTGAATGTTCTGTTGATCACAAAATTAAAATGGCGCATACGATTGTGCCATCATTCGTTTAATTTTTCTAAACAAACTCCAGCACATTGGATCAGGCACTTTCAAATACGACACGAAAATCACATGTCCCAGTAGGCAAACTAATAATGTGAAAAACGAATGACCAAGAATTTTTCTTTTGGTTTTTGACTCGTTTATGACCTGCTTTGAAGATCATGTCACTAGTCACAGATCTCCCTTTTGTCGGTCAAGCTTTGGAGTAAGGAGAATTTATTTTGCGATCTTAGTAGCATAGATTTATTGTCTTAGAATGTATGGTCATCCCAGCCAAGGAAGCTCTTCTAATCGACACATGTGTTACAATGACAACTGTCTAAGATGTGTATTCCCCTCATTTGTGGAGATTTCTTCTTATTTTAGTTTTGTATCTAGGACAGGAAGTGCAGGAAAATCTCTCCAGCAGAACATAGACATCAACAAATAACCTGACCGATATTTTAACATTTTTGTGCTCCATCCAAAACTAGAAATAAAATTTGCCTATTCACACACTTAACAATAGATTAAAAAGTAATTACCCAATTCTCAGCCTAGGTGGTAAAAACACAGACTAGATCTAAAGTCACAAATGAGCACAACAGTTGTTATCACAGCTATCTTGCAATCCAGCTACTGGTTGTATGAAAGTCAGTCACCACCTCTGTGGGTCTAAAACATAAATGCTTTATTGGCAAGCCACAACATATAAAACGTTTGTAGACAAGAGCGGTCAGAGCAAATATATGTTTAGGAGTTACTTTCAGGTGGTCTGTGTGTGTTTCCTATGGTGTCAGCATACACAGAACACCTTACAGTCTCAGTAGGAGGCATGTACATCCTGAAGCCTCTGCTGTACGACATTCTGTTCCTCTGTTTTCTACATTACCTCTTTTTTTATGTGAAAAACAGAAAGGAAGGTGTACCAGCATTACAAACAGGTGTTCCAGAATTACCATATTAATGACAAAAGGCAGCTGAAAGCTTCTTGCTTTCCTACTTGTGTAGTACAGCAATGCCTGGGTGAAAAACTGAACTACTCATACTACTACTTTTTTTTTCAGTTCTAGGTGAAGATTGGGTATACTGTGATGGCAGCTGCACTTAAGAGAATAATTTAGAACTACAAGCAGGGGCGGACTGACAACTCATGGGGCCCCTAGGCAATAGGGGATCATGGGGCCCCTGTGTCCTTGCCCAAACTCAAAAAAGCCTATGAAAAAGGTACCAGGGGCATCTCATGGGGCCCCCTACTGACCCTGGGCCCTCGGGCAGTGCCAGAGTTTCCAAATGGTCAGTCCGCCCCTGTCTACAAGGGATCTTCAAAAACTAGATTATAATTTTTACTCCTTAGGCCTCTGCCACATATTTCATAGTGGAAGAACATCGGCATATCAAACATGCAATCATCTTCAAACCTGACTGTAAAATATCGTAATTGTTCTGATTATCGGTTTCTCCCTTGCATCTTCCACCGCCCATGTATGAAGCAGGTTCACTGCCTGGATGCTAAAATAGAACCTAAAACAAGACATTAACACAAACCTACTTGAGCTTCACTAAAGAAAGCTTTAAAGAATAATGGACTTCAAGGGCTTCTGGGATGTCCTTTACACATGTCTCAAGATCAGGGGCGGACTGACCATTTGGAAACTTGGGCACTGCCCAAGGACCCGGGGGTCAGTAGGGGGCCCCATGAGATGCCCCTGGTACCTTTTTCATAGGCTTTTTTGAGTTTGGGCAAGGGCACAGGGGCCCCATGATCCCCTATTGCCCGGGGGCCCCATGAGTTGTCAGTCCGCCCCTGCTCAAGATATAACGGAGCACAATGCAAGGACTGCTACCCATATTGACCGAATGCCAACAAGGTTCCGGTATTATTATACAGGATTTATACAGCGCCAACAGTTTGCTCAGCGCTTTACAATAGAAAGGGAGACAATACAGCAACAATACAGTTCAATACAAGAGGGATAGGAGGGCCCTGATCCTGGGAGCTTACAATCTAGGAGGGAGGGGCTAGTGGTACAAAAAGTAAATAACTGTGGGGGATGGACGGGTAGGAAGAGTAGAAGATTCCATTATTAGCTGAGGGCAGGATAGGTTTCCCTGAAGAGATAGGTTTTCAGAGATCGCCTAAAAGTGAGCAGAGTAGGCGATAGTCTGATAAATTGGGGTAGAGAGTTCCAGAGGATAGGGGGAGCTCTGGAGAAGTCCTGGAGATGAGCATGGGAGGAGGAGACAAGGGAGCTAGAGAGCAGAAGGTCTTGTGAGGAGCGGAGAGTACGGTTTGGGTGATATTTGGAGACAAGATTGCTGATGTAATTTGTGGCAGAGTTATAAATGGCTTTATAAGTTATTGTTGATGTTTTGAATTGTATCCGTTGGGCAATGGGAAGCCAGTGGAGGGATTGGCAGAGAGGGGTGGCTGATACAGAACGGTTAGTAAGGTGGATGAGTCTGGCAGCAGCATTCATGATAGACTGAAGAGGGGATAGCCTGCGATGAGGTAGGCCAAATGAGGAGGGAGTTACAATAGTCAAGGCGAGATATAACAAGGGAGAAAATAAGTTGCTTAATGGTTTCCAAGGTTAGGAACGGTCATATCTTGGCGATGTTGCAGAGGTGAAGTCTACAAGATTTGGACAGCGATTGGATTTGGGGCTGAAAGGACAGATGGGAGTCTAGGGTTACACCTAGCACCCTGGCATGAGGGGAGGGACTGATGATTGTGTTATTGATTTTGATGGATAAGTCAGGGGAGGGGGCACGGGATAGGGGGAATATTAAGAGCTCAGTTTTGGAAAGATTGAGTTTGAGGAAGTGGAGTGACATCCATGCCGATATGTCGCTTAGTAGGTTACTAATGCGAGAGGAGACTGAAGGGGTGAGCTGAGGGGTAGAAAGATAGATTTGTTTGTCATCAGCATAGAGATGGTACTTAAAGCCATAGGAGTTTATCAAGTGACCAAGGGAGGAGGTGTAGATGGAGAAGAGTAGGGGCCCAAGGACCTTGAGGGACCCCTACAGAAAGAGGGAGTGAAGAGGAGGAGCCAGAGTTATAAGTAACTCTGATGGAGCGCTGCGATAGGTAGGAGGAGAACCAGGAGAGAGCAGAGTCTTGGAGGCCAAGAGAGTGGAGTTTTTTTGAGGAGGAGGGGATGGTCAATCATATCAAAAGCCGCCGAGAGGTCAAGTAGTAAGAGTACGGAGTAGTGGCCATTGGTTTTAGGTATAAATTATATAAACAGACAAGCAACTCCTAGAGATGGTATGGCCGATCTAACATCACACCTTAATTTATACTCATGTTTGAGAATGATTATTGTTTTTTGTTTAATGTTTGTTAATTATTATTATTATAGAGGAATTATTTCATTTATGGCACCCATTTGTCTATCAGAGATCAAAAGCAATTGCGGATATATCCACTTTATTGCCATTAGATGGTGATTATGAATCCTACTTGTTGATGTCAGCAAGTCTATGATAAGAGTGTTAGTGGTTAGTTTATCCATTTTTGCTCACTTCCTTTCCTAAAATCAATGGGACTCTGTATTGCTTTA